CAGCCTAATGAATGATGTCATCAGGGTCCCTGCTGCTGAGATTGCTCCTGCCAGCTTGAACCACGCCCAAGAGCATGGGCCATGGATGAACCCCCCCTTTGGGGAAGTTAGCCTGCCGGCCCCACCCCTTCCGCCTGAGGCCTGTCCCCCAAGTCTCTCCTCCCCCCCTCGGCCTGAGCCCGGAACCCCCCGCAGCCTGAGCTGTGCCGGCCCGGCCTGAGCCTCCCCAGCAGGCCCAACGCCGGCTGGCCCAACTCCCACTGGCTGGACCAGCAAGCCCCTGGCTGAGCTGAATCCCCACCGGCTTCAGGGTAGGGGGGACAGAACATGGGCAAGGCCACAGCCTTGATACCTGCCACCCCTGCCCAAGAGAACTGAGTTTGAGGGGTGAAGGTGGCTGTGGTCGGTGATAAGTATGCAATGAGAACCGAAGCAAAAGAACCATTAAACACACGCACACACAAGAGGAAAAAAGAGAAAAATCTGTTTATTTTCTGATTAGAATAAGATTAAGGTTTGGTCTACACTACAGAGTTAGATTGACGTAAGGCAGCTTACATCAACCAAACTATGGAGGCGTCTCCGGTACACTGTTCCTCCTGTAACTTTAACTCGGTGAGAGGCATAATGCTTAGATCAATGCAGTTAGGGCAATGCTGTGTCAGTGTAGACACTGAATTGCTTACATTGACCTATGTGGCCTCCAAGAGGTGTCCCACAATGCTCTGGCCACCGTTTTGAACTCCACTGCCTGGCAGCCAGGTACATGCCCTTCCCCTTTTGAAGCCCTCGGAATTTTTTAATTGCTCTTCCTGTTTGCTTGGCATGGAGAGCTAATATAGCAACTGCCCAGCTAACTTTGCCAGCTCCATGCAGCAAACGTGCTCCTGCCTGGAGTACATGGAAGGTGGGAGATCTCATGGGTCTGTGGGGAGAGGAAGCTGTGTAGGCACAGCTCCGATCCAGCCATAGGACCGTCGACATCTACGGCCAGAGCCCTCAGGGCACGGAGGAGAAGGGGCATGACAGGGACATGCAGCAGTCCCATGTGAAAATCAAGGAGCTCTGGTAGGTATACCAGAAGGCAAGGGAGGCAAATAGTCACTCTGGTGAAGAGCCATAGACATGCCACTTTTACAAAGAGCTGCATGCCACCCTCAGCAGCAACCCCACCTGCACTACCAAGTGCCCCGTGGATGCTTCGGGGGAGCTGGAGTCACACACTATGGGCTTGGCTACACTTGAGAGTTACAGCGCATTAAAGGAGCCCCGGGCACCCTAGCTCACTCCCAGTCCACACTGGCAAGGCATGTACAGCACTCTGTCTCCACAGCTACAGCGCTGCTGGTACTCCACCTCGGCGAGAGGAATAACGTTTGCTGCGCCTTGGCCACAATGCATGGGCATCAGTGTGAACGAGGTGTTAGGTTACTGTGCTCTGATCGGCCTCTGGAAATGTTCCATAATCCCCTTAAATCAAGTGGCCACTCTTGTCATTGTTTTGAACTCCTGTAGGAATGCGGAAATGCCCTTTCAAAGCTCCATTTCTGACAGCCGGCATGCAAGCCATTAGTGTGGAATACTGTGTGTGAGAGAGAGAGGTGGGGGGAGGAGGGGTCTGCTGCTGTCTGAACTTACAAGACAGCATGCTGACGTGCTCTCAGCCCCCCAAAAACCCACTCTCTCTCCCCCCACATACACACAACACACTCCCTGTCACACTCCATCCCCCCCATTTGAAAAGCACATTGCAGTCACTTGCATGCTGGGATAGCTGCCCATAATGCACC